GTCAATTATAGATCGGCCTGTTGCCTTTCATGAGGAAAAGAAATCGCGTGCTTATCATTTTTGTTTTGAGAATTGCGCTGGAAATCGGATCATTGGGTATTCAGTTTTCGTATAATCGCAGCAGCTTGAGTCTTTCATTCTTGCTATTTTTTTTTTTGGCGAGCTTCTGGTAATCTGGGAACCCCGATGTCTTCAAATGAATTGTAGTTTTATATCTTGGGATTCAAACGGCGCAAGATTCATTCAGGGGATGCGTTCAAGAGACGAACTTCGTGCAATCAGATTTCTGGAAATTTGTAGCAAATATTAATGTGCGAGCTTGATCCGTTTTCAACCCTGTAACCTACCTTTCACGCCTTTGCTACCCGAGTGCTATTCCTTTGTCCTTGATTACTATCTTTCGCTTAGTAGTCAAGTTTGAATTGTATTTCGTGACCCATTCTTATTATTTGATTTTCGTTCCGTGACAAATTCGCTTGATTTTCTTTTCCTTGAAGAGAATTTTGGGATGGAGTTGAGCATCAAATTTCAGTTTCTATTGATCCTTATTTGATATCGAACCGTGTGCAGTAACGTCGCTAAGTCGATGCGAAGGTCAACTTGAGAATACCTTAGCTTCGAGATAGACGGCGATCCTTTCTTTCGTGATCTATTTTAACTTTAAACCGAAGTGGCGTACGTGAGAATCGTCGCATACCTGATCGGGAGGAGCCTCGACACCTTTCTAGGGATGTTTGTTATAGGAAAACCTCTTAAGGAGGGTAGTCGAGCCTGATGTAAGCATATCGTGAGATGCAGAGCCATCTTCGTTCTTAAATTGTGTTCATCGTAAACCTTTGAAAACTCTCGATCTCTTTCCCTTCGGAGATTCGAGAGTAATCCTTTGTATTTCTTTGACTTCTTGCAATCCTTTGAAAACTCTTGTTTTTGGTTCGTTTGGAATTTCCATTTCAAGTTTTGCAACCCTATGTATTGATTAAGACAAGTACTTTCGCTTTTCCGCTTGTCTTATATCATTCTTCGATTTTGTGATGCCTTTCGGTCTGGGTGTTCATTCGTACGCGGATCGGTTTATCGTGGCTTTTATCGTTGATAACTTATGTTCGAGACGCGATCGAGATGAATCCACCAACGAAGCTTTGTGATGAGATCCAGAATCGTGAAAATCTTAGCAGACTAGAATTTGAGCTCGTTTAGGACTGCCGGCACGATTAACTACCGGAGATAGAGCTGACGTGACGGCCGACACTGTTAGTCGGAAGAGCCGTGCGAGCTGATCATCTTCATTTTCGGCAATGACAGCTGAGTTGGATTGATTCCTAGCTGAGGATGCCGATACTCATCTTCCTTACGAGATTCCTCCATAACTCTTGTATATGTTATCCGCTTGAAGTTGCATGGTTCGGGGAAGGATGTGATGTTTTGGAAGCCCTGAACCATCCGAGTTTGTAAATAGCTAAATGCTGGGGGATAATGTCCTTGTTGAACCCTAATGTTTCTTGGTTTTGTGAAAACTTTTCCTTTCGGGTTACCTCAGATAGTGCGAGTTTTAAATTAGAGTAATCCTTATTGTACCTCGAACAGAACGCCGACGCTGATTAGGTGTAGTCACGCGAAGTGGTGGTCGATCACGCGAGCCTGTGCTGAGAGACGTGAGGCACTGCAGGGCCGATCGTTGACTCGCACGAGAGCTGCAGCCGCCATCACCGAACGCAGGAGCTCCCCAAGCCAGTGTGTGGCCGAAACCTTGACCTTGTAGCTGTTCTCCGAACAGATGTACGCACACGTCCCAGCGCCCCGCTTATGCAGCGCCAGTGTGTGACATCTCTCGGTAACAGTGCATTTATGCCCGGACTGGCCATGTCTTTTTAGATCGTTATAAAGGGATCATCGAGCATCCCTATTTGAGAGTCAGTTTCTGCGATAGAAGTTGTTTTCGAATGTCTAGTCGATACTTCCTAAACCGCATACGAGCTGTTACTCGTGTTGGCAAGGAATGAGGCTTTGTCAACGATATCGAGCAGAACCGTGTGTTCTGAAGGTATCAGTTTTGAGGATGGTGTTTTTGATGTTGGTTAGCCATTTGTATGCGATTCCGCGGCGGGCCGTCTGATACGGACGCACGGATTCACATTGAAAACGTGGGCAAGTCGTCAGCGTGACCCGGGCACGAGACTGAACTTGGCACCGCATAGAAATCCAAATAGTTATGCTTTTTGTACATGCTGTCGTGACCCTGAGAGACTGGTTGGAGTCTGGTATACTCGATGAGTGTGTCATGTGGAATTTCTTACCATGGGAAGTACGCTTATAGCGATGGCTATGAGTGACGATCTCGATGGTACCATACCAGGTGCCGAGTACGGAAAGAGGTGTTGTATGCCTCGAACTCTGTGAAGAGAGGAAGTATCAGCCACATTGTTGATCTTTTTGGGGGATTCTCGACCGAGCCGACGACTTAGCCTGACAGTTGACCCCATCACCGGAGCTTGCAAGAGTGCACAACCTGTTCAGTGCCTCGTGGAGAGGAGACATGTGCGTGACTCTAGGCACGAGGCGATCTTTGACGAGCTGCATGTGGGCAGAACCTTACCTTTGATGAGGTACCGGTGACCTACTGGATTGACGAATCCAGCAGGGAGAGCCCGGTAGAGGTACTCGTCAAAGTCCGGCGGGGTAACCGTGGCTAGTGCTGTGTGACTTGGTAGAATGGCGAGATTCGGATGGAGTATCCGAGTTTAGTGGCTAGCATTCTGTAAAAAGTTTAGAATTTTTGGAGTTCAGTTATGATCAGTTTTAATATGAATTCGATAATTGGTTGAATATTGTTTTAATTTTATAAATTGATATACTGAGTGTTAAAGTCTGGTATTTTTATGTGTTGCTGTTCCTATGCTTTAGTATTTTAGATAAAAATTTCATAGCCTGAATCGTCCATTATCATGTGTCTTTAATTTAAACTCGCTTTTGTTGAAAAACTTGTTTGAATTTTATAAAGTATGCATATGGAGTTTGAAGCTGAAACTGGGTGATCTTACTTAAAACTGGGATGTGAAATTTATGTAAAATTTTCGGAATCTAACTCAGTGATTTGATATACCTTCTAATTCAAGTGTGAATTTGAGGAATTGTTTTTCTATATTGAAATTTGTTAAGTGTTGTTGACCAAATGTGCCATGTGTCTACTTGTGGCTCGTTTGTTTGTCTTTCACTTGCATTTATGTGAACTTGAATATGTGGTTTGATCGAGTCTAAGTCCTAGAGTTCCCATATCCACAGAACTTCGGTCGAACCGAGTTCGGCTAGGTCAATTTGTGAATTTTCTACATAGGTCTAGATTAAAGTGTTGACTTTAGTATCTGGACATAATGTAGGTGTCTAGAGGTGTTAACCTCGCCTCATTTCGAGATTTGTGACTTTGAACTGTTGCTGCAATCAGGTGGGTACATTTGTGTTATATCCATAATTTTCGCACTTATTATTCCGTATAATGTTTCTTCGAAAATTTATGTATGCATGAGAACTCTATTCTAAGTGTCCCAAATGCTAGTGCCTTTGATGAATGCGAAAGCAGTAGGAGGTCGCCTGCCCGTTGTATCCGGGAGGGACGCCCCATGCCGTCGTATCCGGAAGGGGAAAAACATCTCTGCTGTCTCCTGGAAAGGATCCTACGAACCGTTGTACCCGGGGGTGGGAAGGTTTCCAGTTACAACCATGCCGTTGTATCCGGAAGGTTGTTGTATGTACATAGAAGGTTTGCGATAGGGTCGGGTAGGGGGTTTAGGCTATGAATTCTATGCATACCGATACTGATACTGTTTACCGTGATACTGCTTTTAAAAATAATTATACGGGATAACTGTGCGATGATGGTGAGCTAGTTGGTTGCTCACCCCCATTATTTTTCTTGTTGTTGTCTTCTCTTACTTTGTTCTAGGTTGAGACGAGCTGGAGGCGGTGGCGTAGGACGAGCGAGATGGTGGTCACTGTTTGATGATATCTTATGCTTCCGCATGAACTTGTTGTTTATTTATTTGCTTTCAAATACTTTGGATTATTTATTTATTCACCTTCGAACTATGTTTGAGTTTCGTTTCAACCTTGATTCATGCTAGACGTTTGGGAATGATTTTGAGGTTGTTTATTTTGATAGCTCAAGCATGTGTAGGTTCTTTGGATTGATTGATTGGATGTGTTCATTTGCTGTGGTTAGTAAGTAGCGCCCGTTTCTCGATAAATGTTTTAATTTGGATAAAAAAAATATATATATAACTCTGATTTTTATAAAATAAATTCGGTAAATTCTTAAAAATAAAACGGGACGTTACAAGCACCGTCGGAATGTTCGTCTCCATCAGGATCTTTTATCCGGTGGTTGCTCGCAGAATTCAGAAGCTGTGGTTTACCGTCACCCGACCTTTTGACCTTCGCGACTCAGAAATTGGGTTGTTTGCAATCAAGCAATTGGACGCGGTGGACAAATTTCGGCTTGAATTTGATGGCTCCTCGATAGATTTCTAAGAGGATGGAGAGTTTGGTTGAGATTTAGGGTTAATTTTGTTCGAAAAAAATTTGGGAGAAATTTTGTTTTGGTTCTTTCTCTTCTCAAAAACACTCTTTTCTTTTCTAAGGCGCGAGTATTATTTTTCATTCCCGCTTAACCCCGCGTTTTTTTCAGTCAGTCTCTTAATTATGTTACTTTTTATATATTTTATTTTTTACTCTCAAATTAATAAGTGTCCCAAAATAGATATTAGGATACATAATGAAAAGCATCCCAAACAAATGTGTCCCCGTATACCTCTTTTGTTGTAATTTATGGCATTGCCTTTTCTAATTATAATTGTAATAAACCTGACGAGTCATATATATATATACTAGTTGTCTCACGCCGTGCACGCACGGCGGACTCAAATTTAGTCTAAAAACTACTGACAACAATGAACTTTCATATCACAAAAATATTTTAAGAATATCATCAATATGCCAAGAAAAAATACTCAATTTACAATTGAGCAGTAGAAAACCTTGGAGATGATGTCTTCCACCAAATCATTCGGTGTAGTCGGCACCAGAGGCACAATAGTTACCATAGCACGGACATGACAGGCGGAGGCGGGTTGCAGACATGACTTAGGAAGATAAGGAATATATTTCACCCGCGAATATATGGTTATCATCACGGATAAGATATATTCCATTTCATTATCTCATCTCCTGATCGATCGACGGCGACTCAAACCTTTTACCTCCAAGAAAATCTCAGGAAAGTAGTTTCCTCTTCATTTGCTTTCCCCTCTTCCATTAAAAGTACATCATTAATTTCAAGTCACGTACATGTATCATAAACAATGCAAGTCTTTTACGCCATAAATACAACTTCCTTCAAATGATCACCTGTTGGTATGCTGGTATGCATGTAAGTAGAGATCGGCAAAGAGTGACAAAATGTAAATATGATTTATATTAAAAATCAGTCGGGGCAATCAAGAAGCCACCGAAATAAAATTGATATTTATTAAAAAAAAGGACAAATACGTTAGAACATTTGGATTCTGACATTATAAAGAAATATATTAATACTAATTTAGGGTTGAATAAACCATACAAAACAAACAATAATCTCAATAGTTATAAATTTTCTTTCAATGTAAAATTACACACATGTAGTTCTTGTTAGCTGGAAAAACAAGAAAATAGAGAAAAATAGAAGTTTGAGAATAAAAAGAGTTCTTGGTATCTATATTGCGACATTATTACTGATATTACATGAAATCTTTTTCAAATATGCACATTTGTATCTTGCTCAGTCTCCACCATTCTTAGCCGATCAGCAAAAGCCTAAATAATTTGTTATCTTAGAAATAAGTTCCGAAGCCCAAGTATGGAATACTGGTTTACAGTCAAAGTGTATCCAAGAAGATAATCACCTTCATGATGCAGTGACCGGCCAGAATACGGGCTGGCGGCACCACCACAACCAATGGGGGGAACTACTCGTGGTGGGGTTGCCATCTGACCATTTTGTTCTGAACTCTATATCAACATAAACACCACCTTGACCTTGTACAATCAGGAATACCAAAACGAAACACCATCAAACAAGAATACATCATAAGTTAGCAAAAAAATCAACCGACCTCAATAAAATAGTCGGTTTCCACATCCACCAAAGACTTTCTCTGCATCATCCAGCATTCACGACATGTAAAGCGACGCCTTTAATGACACCAGTATTTTCTTCCCTAATTCAATTAAAACTGAAATAGAAAGGAAAATAAGAAGTTATCAAAAATCAAATATTTTTTGTCAAGACAAACAATACGCACATCCCTTTTAGTGAAGCTTTACAAGATCACGAGTCATGTGTCAATGTCCCACACAAACCCTACAAAGTCGAGGCATATTGACTGCATATGTGTAAATCCAAGCACAAGCAAGATGGCTATGTAAGATAAGGTGCCACTTAAAATTAAAAGAAAAAAAATACCTCTTCAACACACGATTTATGCTACCATCATCAACTGTGAACATTATGATATGTTCGGGGGATATGAAATTATACTCCATCATCCTTGAATACGCAACAGCCGCCTTGAAAACACATTTGACAACAAAACCCAAATTAGCCATTGATACAACAAACAATTTACCGCAAAAAACTTAAAAGTGAACCAAGAACAGGATAGCTTCATATATTAAGGAAACAAAATAATAGCTAGTAGTGAAGTTAACTAAATAATAGCCCTCACATCAATTAAATCAAAAAAATCAGAAAAAATAGCTAAAAATCATACGAAATACTACACATGTTGACAATTAAAGGCCTTTTCATCCAATACTACATAAACTCCATTTTCTAAGAAATTGCATAGTAGTAGCCATAAAGTTATGAGGACTTTAAGACTATTGATGCATGCCTGTAGACAAAGTAGGTAAGATGAATAGGTTATTTCCGTATCCAGAAAATATACCAATAGCCAAAGTCTAGAAATCAACACGTAGAGTTATTACACAATAAAAAATCTTACTCGAGGACTCGTCGGTCTTTACAGCTTCTAGTCATCATCTTCTTCCTCATGCACCAAATTGAACGAAAAGAAGTAGTAACATGATTAGTAAATATAAATTAAATACTCAATATGCAAAACCAACCTCATCACTTTTCAATATAAATGTTGATAGATATTTGGATGTAGTTACGTCATCACTCATAGACTTCCAATTTTCACCAGCAGATTTACCAACCTACATGTTGCCCCATTAAACGTGTAAAATTTTAAACCCGAACACTAACAAATTCTTGATAGAAGGAAGAAAATACAGAAATCATACCTCACACATCTTGTTCTAGTTGGTCGTCATGTACTTCGTCTGAACCTCTTTTCCCCGACACCGCCTCTCCGCCAACAAGTTCTCTGTTGCGTTGATGCCTTCGGACCGGATGTCGGCCGACCACGTGGAGTACGAAACTCGCAGCGCCCTGTGCACCGATGTATTCAATCTGAGTTATGAGGCCCACCAGATGCACCTATATATGTTGCGATGCCAGTGGTTTATGGATCATTGGCAGCGAGTACGAAGAGATCGAGGGGATTGAGCGGTGGAGGGGTGAGGGCGACGATTGTGTTTTTCTGATAGGGTTTGTAACAGGCTCAAAAATAAAATGACCAAGGAGATTGGAATAACATAGGCATCTTCCTTTGCATCATCAGAATCTGAATCACTTGACTTACAACCTTAACAAACAAACACAAAAATTAAAAGAAAAAAAAAAACAGTCAAAGATTAGTAAAAGAAACAAGAGCAAGGGAACAAATGGAGCCACCTTACACTTTTTAAGTACAGAGCAAAACCATAAATTATAGGGATGCTTATCGCCTACTTTCCATGCAGAAGCCTGGCTTCCTTGGGCCCTGTTAATCCATGCTTGTGCATAAATTCAAAAAGCTATAAATGAAACCTTCTTTCACAACTCAAAATCCCAAGACAAAATCCCAAACTGAAAGTTCTAATGCCCTCCCTCATTGCAAGACTTAAATAAACCGCTTAAAAATTGCATCTTTTTTTTTTCAAAAGAAGAGTAAACGAAAAGAACGTAAGCTAGTACAACAAAGTTTCATTTCAAATCGAAAATAAATTACAGAATTAAGAAATTCAGGACGAAGTTTTACTTGGAAGAACTACTCAAGGTAACCCTTAATCTTGAATTCTCATTCACCATTCCTTTTATGTTTATTTTTAGAACTTGAGCAATCAACAAACACATCCATATATTAAATACACACATGCAATAGAGAAACAAATTGAGGTGTAAAAAAAATTACCGTTTGGGTATCTCTATCGTCCAGCACTCTTGGGGCGTCTTATATCCATCAACAATTTGTACTGTTGGCCCTCTGCCGGAGCAGAACCGATATCAGTGACACACTCCGGCCCAGACTTTTCGGCCGTGACCTCGTCGGAGAAAAACGACGGACAACGTCCTCCAACGCTGATGGGACCAAGGTCCAGGCTCAAGATAGGGAGGGGTGGGGCGGCGAGTTAGGTATTTTGTACAGAGAGGAGAAGATGTAGATGGCTAGGTTTGGATGGAAGAAGAGTACGGGAATGAGAGAAAATTTTGCAGTGTTTTGATCAATTTTGTTGCTTAAGAATTAAGACACCATCCAGTAAGCGGGGCCAACCGCAATTTACGGTAATCACATCACTGCAGGGAAGAAACAGTGGCCGCACGTCGCCCAGATTTTCAGGGCAGAAAATCTACTGCCAAATCTAGTGCGAAAAATACCATCACGAAGTAGGAAAAGAAAGGGCAAATTAATCCCAGAAAGCCGAAATAAGAAATGAAAAAAAAAACACCCAATGGCAATAAAGTAATAAACAGAAAAGGTATCGCATTAAATTACCAAAAAATACACCAACCACCACCCAAACAAAGGGCAAATCAGTCCACCAAAAAATCGGAAATGAGCAAGGAAAAAAATAAGCGAACTCAACAGCAAAAAATAAACAAATGCGGATACGTGTTGACCGCTGAGACTGTCGAAAATGGACACGTGTCGACACCACAGACGGAGATATATAATCAAAGGAAAATGTTGGAAGTACATAAATTATGTACATAGAAATATCCATAGGATGAGGTGTCAGATATTTTGGGATTTGATATCTTGAAATTATATTTCAATTAATAATTAACTGAGCCAACATAAAAAAGAAAAGGAAATAAAAACAAAAATAAAGAAGAATCAATTGGGATTTGATATCTTGAAATTATATTTCAATTAATAATTAACTGAGCCAACATAAAAAAGAAAAGGAAATAAAAACAAAAATAAAGAAGAATCAAAGATCAAAGTAAACTCTTGAAATTCTTTACTATTCGCCATTCATATTTTTTCCAGAAATACTCTATGGACTAAACTTTGATTTATTGATTTTCAAATCTAGATCAAACAATTCCCCATCCTTTACTATTAAAATCAATATCAAAGCTTATTTTTTTCTTTATTAATTTTCGTTCTTACATAATGGCTCTGCTTTGTCCATGAATTTTGTCTGATCTAATAATGGTTTTTTACCCAAGATTTTGATTTTTGTCGAGAAGATGGCTGGGTCGGAAATTTTCTATCTTTTTAATCGTGGAAATAAAGAAAAGAAGATCGATGGTATGAGAATGAAGATTGATGATTTTATTTGATTAACGAGGATCTTTTTAATTGTGGAAATAAATATTTGGGAACGCGAGAAATTTGTTTTAAAATCTCAGCACCTTAGCATTACGTAGACTGCTATGTGATATTCTATGTACCGGGTGATTTATTTATTAAAAAAAAAAAAGAAAGTGGACAAAAACAAAACAAAAAAAAGAGATGTGGAAAAAAATCAAAAGCATGTATTCTAGGAATAAGTTTTTCTAATAAAATTTTATTAGAAAATGTAATCCTGTAATATGTTTTATAAATATTTTTTGTGAAATAAAAAAAATTAATTTTCATTTTAGAAGTGGAATTGAATTAATAATAGTAATTATAAAACGGATTATGTAAATACGTTTTTTAAAACCTTAAAATTAAATTTTAGGGTTTTATAAAACGTATTTTCGATATATGTGTTTTTTTGTAAAACGTATTTACGAAATATTTTTATGCATTTAAATTTACCAAAAAAAATAAATATGTAAAACGTATTCTCAGAATACGTTTTACAATTAAATATAAAAAAAAAAAAAAAAATCTCTCTTCCCCCTCACTTACGGATAACGGAGAGTGAACTGAAGCTGCAGGCGATTTTGACAGAAAACAGCTACCGAAAAAAAAAACGCGATCCAATCCCTACCCGACGCGAATCGACAACAACGACACGAGCCTCATTTCTGGTTAATTCATTCGCACAAGGTATATTGGCTTATCTCAACTTTTTACATTGTTTGGAGCATAGTTTTTAAACCCGGCCCGGTGATCGACCCGGGCAGGTCCTCGGGTCACCGGGTCACCGGTTCAACCGTCGGATCACCGGGTCAATTGCTGAACCGGATAATTAATTTAAAAATTTTTAAAATTATATATAGAGTATTTTTGATATATAAATATACATAAAAGTAACAAATTAAATGTTTTGTGTATAAAATTTGTATATTAAAGTGTTAATAATATGTATTTCATGATAAATATTTACCATATAAACATATATACATATTTTTATTTCTAAAAAACAAAAAAAAATATAAAAAATATAAAAAATATATATGGACCCGGTCAACCGGGTTGACCCGGCCTGGTCAATGCCCCGGGTCGGCCGGGTTTTGACCGGGTTTGACCGGGTCCTTGGTTGCCCGGTCCAAATACTCCACCCGGACCGGTTCCGACTCCGGGTCGACCGGGTCCCGGGTCGACCCGCCGGCCGGTCCGGGTCTGAAAACACTGGTTTGGAGTTGTTTGGAGATTGGGAATTGTTATAGTATGTTTGAATGTGGTGTTGTTTGAACATTGAGAATTGTTAATTGTTTATCGAATATGTGTATATGTTGAATTGGAGATTGAAATTTTGTTGTAAATTGTCAATTGTGTATTAGTTGGTTATTGTTGGGCTTAGGGTTTTCGAAATTAGGGTTAGAATTTAGGCTTTCAATTTATCCAAAATATAGATGAATTATATATTATTGTTGATTATAGGTATTAGGGTTTTGGAGAATTATTTTATTGGGAATATTTATTTTGGTTATTTAGTTGAATAATTGAATTTTTTTTGTGTTGGATTAGACATTAGACATTATGTGTTGTTGTAATTGAAAAGAATTGAAAGTGTCTTTTTGTAACAGGTATTAATGGCATATTCCGGTTCATACTTTGTTAATTTGTACTGGCATTTTGTGAAGGAAAGGTTAAGTGAATTTGTTTTATTTAAAGATCGTCCAGATGGTTCATTGTTTATTCCGGAGAGGATATCAAATCAACAATTGGTAGAAATGATTAATGAAAATTGTTGGTTTGGAGAAGGCTGGACAAGGAAAGAGATTACTTTAATAGTTAGCCAACCCGGTGGTTCGTTGAATTTCTTAAGACTCAATAACGATAGTATTCTTCAGTATATTTATTACCTTCCTCCTATGTCCATGGTGTATTTGCATTTTTCGTTGGAGGCAATTACACCGGTTACACAGGTTCAGGATGTGTAGGGATGTTACGGGGGAGTGGTGGATGTTGAGGGTACGTCGACTTCGCATAATTTTGGAGAAGGGACAAGCTCAACAATGCAATGGGAAAATGAGAACTGTGAAGAAGAAGAAGGCGATGAAGATTTCATTCCTGGTGAAGATGATTCCACAGATGAGACCTCCGAAAGGAAATCAGACAGATCAACAAATGAGGAGAGTGAACCGGAATTGATTGAAGAGGAAGACCCTCTTCCTAGTGGTGGTCGCCACATTTATCGCGAGATAGGTAAATGGGAGCCATCGAAGATAGATGAGAACGAGTATGCTCTTCCATTTTGGAATGGAGACATTGAGACCATACGTTTGGGTATAGTTTTTAGGAGCAAGGAAGAAGCACAATCGGGTATCTTGGCTTAGAACGTTGATAGGCTGAGAGCGGTTCGGATAATAGATTCTAATCAAAAGTCATACAAAGTGGTCTGCAAATCTAATGAAGATGAACCTTGTGTGTGGAGGGCTCGGGTGACTAAGAAATGGGTTCATGAAATGTGGGAATTAACTGAATGGACTGACAGACACACTTGTATGCAACGGGTTGAGAGAAATGACCACAGAAACATAACCACCCGTATGATTTCAAATCTTGTAATTAACAAGATTGAAAAGAATCTGGACTACAACGTTAGACTGATCCAGGCCGATGTGAAACAGTGCTGGAAAGTCGATGTCAACTACAAGAAGGCGTGGCAAGGAAGGAGAAAAGCCATCGAGCGTGTGTATGGCTGTTGGAAATCGAACTTCGCAGTGCTCCCTCTGTAAGCAAAAATTAATTACAAATACATGTGTCGTTTGTCTGTCACTATGTTTATCTATTTATGAAACCCTTTTGTAATTTGCAGGTTTTTTGCCGTGCTTCAAAGAGCGAATCCTACCACAGTTGTACAGTGGGAATGGCAGGGTGGGAAAATGGCGCATCTGTATCAAGACATACAATTTAAATTTGTATTCTGGGCGTTTGGTCCCGCCATTCAGACCTTCCAACGATGCCCGCCGGTCATTAGCGTCGATGGCACACATTTGCGCGGATCGTACAAGGGAAAATTGCTTGTGGCTATAGCACAGACAGCGAATAAGCGGCTATTGCCAATCACCTATGCGATTGTTGATGAAGAAAGCAAGGATAGCTAGTCATTTTTCCTTACAAATGTGCGGCAATATGTTGTGTTCGACCGACAGATCTGTGTTCTCTCCGACAGGGATAACGGCATACTCAGTGCCATTGACTCATTGGTTGGTTGGCAAGAACCCGCTGCATATCACCGGATTTGCCTTCAACACCTTCGAAGCAACGTGGCACTAACTTTAGGAATAGGAAAGTGCGTCATTGATGTTGGGATTTGGGTTCGCAGTTGTCGGAGTGAAAGTTTCGAGCGACAGAACAGCGACTGTTGGAATTTAATCCCCAGGCACACAAGTACCTTTTCAATATTCTTGGAACAAGTGGACCCTGTATGGAGATGAAGGAAGACATAGATGGGGCACATTGACGACCAATATGTCGGAGAGCTACAACAACGTCTTGAAAGGCGTTAGGTTCCTGCCGTGCAGAGCTTTGGTACAGGCCACATTGGAAAAAATTCTGGATTTGTTCGAACAGGAACAAAAGAAGGCCACGAAATGCATGAGTCCCATTGCTACTCAGCACTATAACGCCTATTTAGAATTGGAGCGTACAGCCGCAACACATACTGTGAAATGTGTGATCGCCGAAATGTCCAGGTACAAGGTGAGAACCGGTCTACGGGCTAGTGGGAGAGGGCAAAACAGGTATATGGTTTTTTTTTCCATTCATATATTTGGATGTTTATATATATAAATCATTGTTTGTGTTAACAGCTATAAGGTTAATTACCCCCGAAAACATTGTAGTTGTCTGAAGTGGCAGACACACAGGAAACCATGCTCTCATGCAATAGTTGTAGATCGTCAAATCGGGACTGATCCAAAGTCATTGTACGATAATGAATTTTGGACGGAGACCTGGGTAGCTCAATTTACTAATTAGGGTTTTGCTCCAATTGGTACTGCAGATACATGGGCGCCGGTGGGATGGAATTTGATACCACATTGGGAGAGGATGATCTTGAAGCCTGGACCCGGTCGCAAGCAAACGAGACGCTATCGCATGCAAATGGATCGTCGGGCGCTCCGCAGGAATGATAGGGGACAGTGTTCAAGATGTGATAATCCCGATCATGTTTTCGATGAGTGTCCGTCCTCACATCCTCCCACCGATAGGTCTAGACTTCGTGATGAGTGGGGGAACTAGATTTGTTAGTATTTATTCGGATTTGTTTGGAGGGTTCATTTGGATTTTTGGTTGGATTGTTATTTTGTTTTGTTTAGATGGTTTATTTTATTTGAATTTGTTTGGATGATTTATTTGGAATTGTTTGGATGGTATTTACGGTAGATTAGCTTATTTGTTATTGTAATTTTTGTTTAGTTTGTTGTTTTGAATATTTAAAACAAATATTTTTTGGTTAAAGAATGGAAAAACCAGTTTTTTTTTTTAACTTATATAGTTTAAAACGTATTATAATAAAACTTTTTTTTAAGTGGGGGCTTTGTTGTCTACAGTGATGCCTCAAACAATGGCTTGGGTTGTGTACTCATACATTATGGCAGAGTAATAGCATATGCTTCACGGCAGCTGAAGGAGTACGAAAAGAA